GAGTAAGATATCAATCAACTCAAAATTAGTATCTATTTCCTTTTTATAATAACCTCTGACTACGTACCTTGTTCACAGTTCTTTCCCTGATATCCCGTTCTACAGGAGCACGTGTAGCTTCCTTTAGTATTCCTACAGGAACCGCCATTTTGACAAGGTCTTTTCAGACATTCATTCACATCTGAAAAAAGTAAGATATCAACTCAATTTTCATTTTTTATTTATTTTTAATGTAGTATTTTAACGACCAACTAGCAGATCAAAAGCTGGAGCAAACTCTGGGGCTAATGTAAGTCAGGGTGCGGCCAACTTCAGTCCAACTCTGATCGAAATAAACTCTAGGCTGAACTAAGTAAGCGCATTGCTAAACTTCTGAATGACAATGGATTGCACCTTAAAACAACCTCTGGGATGATATAAGCTGTTAGAACCCAGCTACCTCACAGATCAAACCATGAAGCAACCTTTGGACTTATATAAGTCAGGGCACGGCTAACTCACAGAACAAACCCTTAAACAACCTCAGGGCTGATCTAATTCAGGGCACGACTAACTCTCAGATCGAACCCTGAAACAACCTCTGGGCTGATCTAAGTCAAAGCACGGCCTACTTACAGATTGAACCCTGAAACCTCTGGGATCATGTAAGTCAAGGCAACGTGACAGAGAAAAAACCTCGGTGTAAGGCAGAGACGTTTACGAACTCTTCCTACATGTGATTCTGACCAGAAATCAACAAAGTGATCCCCTAAAGATTATTGAACTACGCTGCTTTGGTGAAACCCATATTATTAATTTTTATTCCCTTGTTGATCTCGCTCATTTTATTATGTGCTCGCAGAAATGCCTTTTTATGTAAATCATTGCCCCCGAAAAAACGAGTATAAAAGTTTACCTTGTTCGCAGTTTTTGCCCGTGTATCCCTGAACGCAAGTGCAGGTATATCCATTTCCATTCTGAACGCATTTTCCGCTATTTTTGCAGGGCTTGGCGAGGCAAGGATTTGGAGCTGCAAAATATGAAGCGGTTCATTATAATTAGGTGTGGATATGAAATTAAAAACCAACAAATAGAAACAATAAAATCAGAAATTAAAAAATTTTAACTAAAGTGCTCTCCTATTCGTTTCAAAACAAGCATTAATATTTGTATAGTGTTATGATTTTACGCGTTCGCGTTTTCTCAAATAAATGATCTTATTTTCACTGTACAAGGTCGTGTTTTTTTAAAGAATTTTAGGATTTCGATGAGGGTATTCGAAAGCT